CGCTGGGCCCCAGAGGGTGTGATCGCAGCAGGATCGCTGGCCCCTGTCATGCTCAGCACCTTGTCACAGGCCCAAACCTACCGCGGCCGACCCTTGACCAGAGAGCCACTGCCTGGCCTGAGATACAGACCTGGCTCACACAGAGATGACCGTGGGCAACTGGCTTTGTCAGTGAGGAATCCATGGAGGCAAAGATGGCAAGAAAGCTGAGTGCCCCTGGTCCCGGGCGACGGTGTGCAGAAGGGACCTGGGTGGGAAATGACACCCTGGGCGTGGGGACTCTGGTTCCTGGTCCTGAGTTTCTTCAATGCTGTCGCTGACCGTTCACCTAGCACAGCCGCTTTAGAGGAAAAGGAGGTGTCTGCTCCCCCCACTACCTGCCTGGCACCTCCGTTCCCCGATTGGCCGAGACCACAGCTGCTGGGTCATGGCCGTGTCCCCAGCCTGTGTGTCTGATGGCGTTCTGCTTCTCTCAGTCACCCAGGGGCATCTTCTCTCACAGTCCCTCCATCTGATGGAATGATCACCAGGGCCCATGGCTCTCCCTGTCCTGTCTTGAGCCCGGCCCCTCCGCCACCTCCCCTGCCTTGGTGACTGTGGCGGAACGGGATCCAGACGCCGTGATCCAGACAGACCTTCAGCAGGTGGCAGGCAGCACGTGCCTTGGCTGGAGCATACGTGCCCGTGAGCCCCAGTGCCGCTCCTAACTGAGGGTGTGTCCGAGCTAGGTCACCGGTCAGCCTCGGGAGCCCGTGGCCACCATCTGCACTTGCAGTGGTTGGTGGAATGGGAGGTGGTGGGGGTGCAGGGTCGTACACGGCCTCGCCGTGTCCAGCTGCACCGGGGCAGTCATCTCGCTGGCCTCCCTGCCTCGGCTCCTGGGTCCCTGGTCCCCTTCCACTGTCCTCCCTATTTGCAGAGCTAGCCTGTCCCTAGCCCGCCTGAAGGAAAGTGTTCCCCGGCCTTCCCCACTGCATTGCTCAGAGGCCCTGCAGCCTTCCATACTAACTCGCTAGCCAAACAAATCCAGCCCCTGTGACCTGTATTTGTGGCCTCAGAGACCACCTTCTCCCCTTGGAGGCCCGCCCCCCCCACCCTGCCCATGCTCCTTGGGACCCTGAGACACAGCGCTATGTGTGGTTTCTCAAACGCTCTTCTGAGCATCTCATCCTCTCTTCCTGAAGTGCCTCTGCCTCTGGCTGGTGAGCTCCTCTTCATGCCTCCAGGGCCAGCTTCTAAACTCCCATCCCCGATAACCCCGAAGTGTGTCTCTCCTCCCTGGTACCTTCCCGATCCTGGGACATCCCTGAGTCGCTTCAGTTCTCTCCCTGCATGTTTACTGCCCTCTTTCCAGACAGGGGGCCCCTGGAAGGGCTGGGCACCCCATCTGGGTCACATCTGTCTCCCAGGGCACAGCTCTCTCCCCTTTGCCTTAGTACACATTTGCTGATGTGAAGATAAACAAAGGCTGTTTTCCAGGAATCGTGCAGCTTTGGGGAATAGTTGAGGATGTGGAAGAGAAGAGACACTTTCCGTTTGGGTGCCTTTTTATCTCCTCCCCCCTCTTCACCCCCCCACACAATCAACAGCTGAACAGCTTCAAAAAGTTCAGGGGGTCAGGAAAAATGCAGCCGAGACCCCAACGGCCTTGCCAGGCCCTTTCACTTTTTCTTCTCCACTGTAGTTGAGTTCCAGGCTCAGGGTCAGCGTCCTCTCATTCATCCTTTGTTTGCCCTGGTTTGGCTTCTTTAAGCTCAACAGGAAACTCATGAGTAGCTGTGCAAAACCAAACCAAAAAATAACCCAAGGCCTGACCCTACCGCCGCCTCTTCCCAGAAGCCTTCCAGGCAGAAGGCTGTGTACTTGTCTGATCTCCTATCACATTTGAAGCTGGTGTCTCCCACTTGACTCTCGACTTTTTGGTGGTGTGCCTTGGTCTATACCAGGGGTGGGCAAACTTTTTGACTCGAGGGCCACAATGGGTTCTTAAATTGGACCGGAGGGCCGGAACAAAAGCATGGATGGAGTGTTTGTGTGAACTAATATAAATTCAAAGTAAACATCATTACATAAAAAGGGTATGTCTTTTTTTTTTTTTAATTTTATTCATTTCAAACGGGCCGGATCCGGCCCGTGGGCCGTAGTTTGCCCACGGCTGGTCTATACGTTGCTCCACCGGTGCTGGTCTTGTCCTGCTAATGAGCTTGCAAAAGGCCGGACCATGCTCTCCTGGCTCTGCTTTTTAATTTTCCAGTAAGTTTAGGCTGAGGCCCAGCCCAGTGCCAGGCACACTGTGGGGTCTTGCCTGATTTTACTCATTAGTGGACTCTGGAAGCTCTGCTGGTACCTTTTCTGCCGTGGGCCCTGTGGGCCTTCTCTGGACTACTAGGTTCATGTCTGCAAAATGGAGTGATGCTCACCTTTTAGAGTTGTCAACTAGCAGGTACCTATTTATCTATTCATTCATTCATTCCACACGTATGACAGTGTTAGATGGCAAAGATGCAAGACAGATGTGGTCCCAACTCCACTGAGCTAACAGACCAGGCTAGGGTGGGGGAGAAAAATACAACTCAAAAATGAGCAAAATAAAGAAAACTCTTATTTTATTCATTGCTAATTTTCCTCATTTTAAACTTTTATTTAAAATCGTTTATGTTCATATTGTTAGTAAGTTGTGATTAGGGCTATGAAGGTAAGAGGAAGCTGCTAAGTTAAAAAATAAAAGTTAAAAAACGAAAGACAACAAGAAATATCTACTTTGGACAGGGTGGTCGGGGAGGGCTTCTTTGAAGAGGTGACTTTCTTCCCCTCCTCTCCCTTAGGAGGCACATCCAGTAGGAAATGCTACATTGCAAGATTCTGGTGTGGTTGTTTTTTTTTCTGAAGGGGAGCTTAGAGCTGACTGCTGGCAGCGGGGGGAAAATAAATAACGATGCCAGGGGGTGAGAAGGAAAATCAGGATGCAATGATGACAACACTCTGTGTGGCTAGTGTAGCACTTCCCAAGCACAGTGGTGAAAAGCTTCGCAGACCTGTCACTCACAACCACCTTGTGAGATGGGCAGGCCCCCGTGGTGGTCTCGGAGCTTGGTGAGGTCGTGGGACTGCTCAGCGTTCCCACAGCAGGTGATGGAGGGCCAATTTGGACTTATAGTTGCTGTCATGGGGAGCAGGGTCCCTGTGGCTGTGGTCCCTGGCACTGGGTTTAGACCTGTGGTTCTCAGTTGGCTGCAACATTGCAATGATGTGCGGAGGCTTAAGAACCGTTGGCTCCTGGGTTCCACTCCCAGAGATTCTGCTCATCCATCTGGGGTGGGCTTGGGCATCTGGATTTTTTTTTTTTAAATATATTTTATTGATTTTTTTTACAGAGAGGAAGGGAGAGGGATAGAGAGTTAGAAACATCGATGAGAGAAACATCGATCAGCTGCCTACTGCACACCCCCTACTGGGGATGTGCCCGCAACCAAGGTACATGCCCTTGACTGGAATCGAACCCGGGACTCTTCAGTCCGCAGGCCGACGCTCTATCCACTGAGCCAAGTCGGTCAGGGCGGGCATCTGGATTTTTAAAAAAATGTATTTTTATTGATTTCAGAGAGGGAGAGAGAGAGAAAAAAAACCCATCAAAGATGAGAGAATCATTGATCGGCTGCCTTCTGCACGCCCCACACTGGGGATCGAGCCTACAACCTGGGCATGTGCCCTGACCAGGAATCGAACCATGACTTCCTGGTTCATAGGTTGATGCTCAACCACTGAGCCACGCCGGCCGGGGGACATCCGTATTTGTAAAAGCTCTCCAGGTCATCCCAGTGGTTGGAAAGCACTGTTTAGGCCCTCAAGGAGCTGGCTTCCATTAATGAGCACGTTCTCGAGGGCCAGGCAGGCAGGGAGAGCCAAGATGATGAACCTGTCAGCAAATGCAGCAGCGCCTGTTCTTTTTTAAAAAATATATTTTTTATTTCAGAGAGGAAGACGGAGGGAGGGAGAGAGAGAAGCATCAGTGATGAATGAGAATCATTGATGGGCTGCCTCCTGCACACCCCCTACTGGGGATCGAGCCCACACCCAGCATGTGCCCTGACTGGGAATTGAACCATGACCTTGTGGTTCATAGGTCGAAGCTCAACCACTGAGCACACCGGACAGACCGCCCTGTGCTTAGTGGAGATTTAGGTTGCTGATAATAACGTCAACAACAACACTGGTGAACGCCCTGCTCCTAGACCAGTGATGGCGAACCTTTTGAGCTCGGCGTGTCAGCATTTTGAAAAACCCTAACTCTGGTGCCGTGTCACATATAGAAATTTTTTGATATTTGCAACCATAGTAAAACAAAGATTTATATTTTTGATATTTATATATTTAAATGCCATTTAACAAAGAAAAATCAACCAAAAAAATGAGTTTGCGTGTCACCTCTGACACGCGTGTCATAGGTTCGCCATCACTGTCCTAGACTGTTGCCCTCTGTACTAGCATTTCTGCAAGGTGCTTCCAGCTGGGAAATGATGAGTGCTTCGATGGCGGTGGCCCTTGAGGGAGATGGACTGATAACTGGATCCATGGGACCAGGGCCCTCCTTGGGGGGGATGCTGGACTGGGTGACAACTGAGGTGGCCCAATCACTGAAGAAACTCAGGGGAAGGGTTTATTTGCTAAGCGTGGCTTTTGATGGGTCATCCATATTTCTGTAGGGACAGAGTGATCACTGTGTCATCTCTTTGGAGTGATTCTGTGTTTCCCCATTGTGGGGGAAAGAATGAACAACTGGTCAACCATAGCACTTCTTCTGATGGTTGCGGGTTTGATCTGTGTTCAAATTCTCTAGATGCTGAGCTATTTTAATTGGCCTTTATCTAGGAAGAAAATTCTGTTTCCAAATTCTCATGGCCTTATGGGCTTGCTTGGGCCATCTCGGCCACTGTCACTCCAGCAAATGGTAGACCTGCGTCGTTGGCTGAGGGCCTGTTTTCCTCTCCCCGAGACCCTGGCACTGGGCATCCCACATGCTGCCAGGCCTTACCCCAAACCCCTCCCCTTGGGACCAGAGAGTTCATGGTGAGATGCTGCAGGGCCCAGGGGTGTGTGGGGGTGTGTGTCAGAGCTAGGCCTGTAAAGGCTTCTTCTGTTCTCTTCTCTAGCCCTGGAGCAGCTGCTGACGGAGCTGGAGGACTTCCTCAAGATCCTGGACCAGGAGAGCCTGAGCAGCACAGCCGTGGAGAGGAAGAGTGGTCTGGCCGAGCTCCTCCGCCTGTACATCAAAAGCAGCAGTAAGTGAGGCCAGGGCCTGGGAGAGGTCCCCGTGGGAATGGACAGATGGTGGTTGTATTGACAAGGGCTACCATAATGAAGTTTCACAGACTGGGTGGCTTAAACAGCAGACATATGTTTCCTTACAGTCCTGGAGGCCAAAACCCTGAGATCGACGTGTCTCCAGATTTGGTTCCTTGGGAGGCCTCTCTCCTTGGCTTGTAGATGGCTGTCTACTCCCTCGGTCCTTATACCGTCTTCCCTCTGTGCTTGTCTGTGTCCAAATCTCCCTTCTGATAAGGTCAGCCCACGCCAGTGGCCTCATTTAATGTGAATCACCTCTTTCAAGACCCCTTCTCCAAGGTCAGCCCTCCTCTGAGCTCCTGAAGGCTAGGATTTAACATATGCATTTGGAGGAAACACAGTCCAGCCCATAACAACAGTGTAGGAGGGATGTGCCTTGAATGGGAGCCCAGGAATCTCCAACCACTCAACACATCAGCCACGAGTGAGGTTTTCAACAGAGTGTTTTCCAAGCACTTTTCCTTACTGGTTGAAAGTAGAGCAGGGATAATAAAGTCTTGTAATAATAGCTGAGGCTTCATTGAGGGTTTCCCACTTGTGCACGTATTAACTTGTTTCATCTTCAAGACAGTCCTCTGAGGTTGGCTGTGATGACAGAGGCAGAAACTGAGGCCAGGAGAGTTTAAATAACTTGCCACTGTGTCAGACAGCCCGAGAGAAAATGGGAAAACACAGTTTTAAGAATTTGCAAATCACAGAATGCTGAGTTCATCGTTTTTTTTCCTTTTTTACTGAGGTCCGTGTTAACACACAACCAAGTACACAGATCATAAGTACGCAATTGGTTGGGTTTTGACAGTTGTTTACTATCTGTGTCCCAACCACCCAAAACAAGGCACAGAATATTCCTGTCATCCCAGAAAGTTCTTTCTTGCCCCTTCCCAGGGAGCCCCCCCTCCCCCACACCATGGCAACCACGGTCCGGATTTCTCCCACCGTAGGTCAGCGTTGCCCGCCCTTGAGCTTCACATGAATGGCATGGTTCAGTGTGCACATCATGTCTGGCCTCTTCGCTCAGGAGATTCATCCACGCGCTGGGGCGTGGCAGCCATTTCTCCCTTTAATTGCTGAGGAGTGTTTCCTTCTGTGCCGATGCCACCATCTGCTGCTCCAGTCACTCGGTGGTGGACATTCCGGTTTCACACATTGGGACCATCATGAATAAGGCCGCTCTGAACGTTCTTGGACGCGTCTTCTTATGGACACATGGTTTTGTTTCTAGCACATTCCAATTGTCTTTTTTTTTTAAATAGAAAAGCCTTCGTGTGAAGTCATAACAGTTGAGCTGAGTTTATTTTTATCTCGGGCGCGTGAGGATCGGAAGTGATGTTCGGGGACAGAGAGGGGCCATCAGAGGGCACATCCTCCATCTGCCTCGCGGCAGGAGCAGCCTTCATCCGTGCCAGGCCGGGGGCGTGCACCTGCTCAGAGTCAGGAAGTTCTCCCTCCGTCCAACCTGAACCTGCCAGGCCACACGCCACGGTCCCTTTCCCTCTTCTTTGTTCCCGGTGGAACGAGTTTCTGTTCTCTGAATAACAGAGACGTCGTAAAGCTGAACATGTTGCTACCTGCCCGGCAGCCTGCTCTCCCGGGGAAACAATCCTGGCTCCCTCCGCCTGTCATCAGAGGCGTTCTCCTTGAGCCGCTCGGTCTTTGGGCTCCAGGCCAGCCCCTGGTTCCCAGGCACCTGGCTTTGTAGTGAGCGTCTGCCGGCCTGCCCGAGCGCTGGTCAGCCACACATCAAAGGTGGGAATGGCAGATGGGAAAGCCACATCACAGAGCAGGTGAGGTAGAGAGGCATGAATCACCTGCAAGAGGATTCATCAGCGGACCTTTTATTTATTTAATTTTGATTATTTTTTTTTTGGTATTGATTTTAGAGAGGAAGGCAGAGGGAGAGACAGAAACATCAGTGATAAGAGAGAATCACTGATCGGCTGCCTCCTGCATGCCCCACACTGGGGATCGAGCCCGCAACCTGGGCATGTGCCCTGACCGGGAATCGAACTGTGACCTCCTGGTCCATAGGTCAATGCTCAGTCACTGAGCCATGCTGGCTGGGCATCAGTGGATCCTTTATTATTATTACTAGAGGCCCGGTGCCAAATTTGTGCACTGGGAGGGCGGGGCGTCCCTCAGCCCAGCCTGCACCCTCTCGCAGTGTGGGAGCCCTTGGGGCAATGTCCGACTGCCGGCTTAGGCCCATGCACGTCATAGCGACCAGTCATTCCACCATTCGGTCAATTTATCCTGGACTGTTCAGTCTGAAGGCTGATGCTCCATCCACTGAGCTAACTGGCTAGGGCCATCAGCGGAACCTTGAAACAGCACACTCCCCAGCCCAGCGCCGTGTGCTCTGACCTGAGAATGTGCAGGGATGAAGAATCTCTGGCGGGAACTGGAAAGCACCTCTGTGATGGGGTCTGAACCCTGGTGCTTGGCTCTGACCACTCTTGCAGTGCCCCGGGGCGGGGTCCCCGTGTTGGTGTAATGTGCTGTGGCCCTTGCAGTAGGGTGGCCTTGGTTTCACACTTGATCTTTGTGTGTTCCCACCTGGTCTCCGCAGCTCGCAGGCCTGCAGGAGGCTGCTGAGATCCCACGGCCTCCCAGTGCGACGCACCCCAGAGCGCCACCCCGGCTGCTAATAATACAGGCGCACAGCCTCACCGAGGCCTGTGGCAGCCCCTTCTAGTCTTAAGGTTGTGACAGTCACTACTAATAGCCCCTGAAAACTTCCCTCTGGTCCCGTTGGCACATCCTCTTGACCACAGAGTGGTTATAACGGCAGCTAACATTTTTTGGTCATTGACCGGGTCCCAGCACTGTGCTCAGCATATAAAATGTCATGGTCTCTGTCATTCCAGTTCCCTTCCCAAGTCAGCGAGGGAGTTGTTGTTGTCCCCATCTTACCAACAGGGGAGCCGAGGCTTGGGACGTCACTTGCGTGAGGCCCGTGGTCGTGGTGCCCGGGCAGGCCTGGGCAGGTGCGCCTACCACTGTGCTTTCCTCCAGCCCCACGGTGCCAGATTAACCTGGACTGCACAGGACAGAATCCAAAGCCCCCCGAAACTGCAGCACCCGTCTTGCTCTCTGCCTCACCGTGCATCCTCCAGAAAATGAGCTCAGCCCGACGGAGCGGCCGATCGCTGAGACAGCCTGTGGCCGACGCTGGCTGAGCTGTTGTTTCTCGTGGGTTTGACACTTTTAAGACGGAATTTTCCATCTTTTGCTTTCTTACTGCAACACAAATTCTCTACTAACTTTGCTTTTTATCTGCATGGCGAGGTCTATGTATTGGGGCCTGCTGTTTGTTCCTGCCTTTACCAGTGAGGGCCCCCCCTCCCCCAATCCCGCTCAGGGACTGTAGGGAAGTTTCAGGGTTGCCCCGCTGCTAGGAAGAGCTTCAGATGTTCTGTCTATCCAACTGCAGCAAAGAGGGTCCATGTCTTTCCTCCCCACCCTTCACCCTGTTCCCGGGGAAGGACCACCCTCTACAGCAGTGATGGCGAACCTTTTGAGCTCGGCGTGTCAGCATTTTGAAAAACCCTAACTTAACTCTGGTGCCGTGTAACATATAGAAATTTTTTGATCTTTGCTACCATAGTAAAACAAAGACTTATATTTTTGATATTTATTTTATATATTTAAATGCCATTTAACAAAGAAAAATCAACCAAGAAAATGAGTTCGCGTGTCACCTCTGACACGCGTGTCATAGGTTCGCCATCACTGCTCTACAGGCAGGCTCCCTCCCCCAGGAAGCACAGATGGGCTCAGGGCAGGAAGGCGCTCCTTCCAACCACCCGTCGGCTCTTGTTATTTCCATACGCCCGTTAACCCCACAGACTTGGGTCCCCAAAGGCAGAGACAGTGTCCCCGCACCTAGATTAGCGCTGGTGTTGGGTGCACACCTGGGAATGAAGGAGAGAGTCCTCCCTCCCTGGGCAGCTGCTCCCGGGCCACAGGACAGCTCATCAGCCTCCCCTGGGAGGGCCCCGTCCACTGGGCTCTTCCCAGGATTGCAGGCGGTCCTGGGAGCCTCCTCCTTGCCAACCTGGATGGCCCTGGATTAGCAACCCTCTGAGAATAAGAATCTACTGGACCACGGCCCGCAGGGTGCCCCAGGTGGGAGACACGCAGCCCTGGGGGGAGGGGGGCAGGGCGGGCTATGCGAGTTTTCTCTGGAGCTTACGAGACTCCCTCTCGGAGGAAGCACCTGCTCAGAATGCCAACAGTTAAAACAATAAAGGTATTTTGCCTTTTATTTCTTCGTGTGGCAGTGTGGGCGTCGTCAACAAGATGAAAAAAAAAAGAAAGAAATGCAAAATGAACATTAGGCATGATTTATGTTCCTTAGATTCCTTTGGTGATCTTTATCAGGGTCCCCTGGATATCCTGTGGTTGGGGCCTGCCTCTGTATTTGGCTTTGCAGTGTTTTTACATTTATAATCGCTGTCAGTGCGCATTTCCACGTGCTGACAGTTCACGTGGCTTTTCCCTTCTGAAATGTGACCCTTTAACTGTACATCTTGGCTGTCCTAGACCTACTTCATTTTTCACTGTTGTTCAAATGGTCTCCTATTAGTGAGCATTTAAGTTTTGTTTTTTGTTTTTGTTTTTTAAGAAACCTCATACAGTATTGCAGTGAACATCCTCGAGTAAGATTATGTTTACATGCTGGAGTTTGTCTCCAGGAGAAATTTCTGGCGTTGGACATGCTGGGTCAAAGAATAGGAACACGTACAATTAAATTATCCTCCAAAATCACTTCCCAGTAGTTGTGCCAATTCCCACACTATTCAGTCATTCGTCTGTTTTTTTAAGAAACCTCATACAGTATTGCAGTGAACATCCTCGAGTAAAATTATGTTTACATGCTGGAGTTTGTCTCCAGGAGAAATTTCTGGCGTTGGACATGCTGGGTCAAAGAATAGGAACACGTACAATTAAATTATCCTCCAAAATCACTTCCCAGTAGTTGTGCCAATTCCCACACTATTCAGTCATTCGTTTATGGTCACAGGCAACATGCTGTTTATGTTGATGTGCCATCGTTTGTTTGTTTCGCCATTTTCCCACTATTGAGACTGTGAGTTAGTGCCCATATCTTGGGCTGGCATTTTTTAAAAAAATAAGTATTTTTTAAATTTATTTCAGAGAGGAAGTGAGAGGGAGAGAGAAATAGAAACATCAGTGGTGAGAGAGAATCATTGGTCAGCTGCCTCTTACACGCCCACACTGGAGATCAAGCCCACAACCTGGGCATGTGCCCTGACCGGGAATCGAACCGTGACCTCCTGGTTCATAGGTCAACACTCAACCACTGAGTCACACCAGCCGGGCGAGGCTGCCATTTTTAATCTTCATCAGTTATAAGATTACCTTCCTTTTTCAAATTTCCTAATATTTGAGTTTTGTACTCTTGAACTTCACAGTTAAGTAGAAAGAGGCAATATTTCATCAAGATTGTTTTCCATACGATGTGGATAAGAAAACCAAGGCCACACTGGTTAGGTGTTTTGCCCAGAATTACACTATTCATGGCAAAGCATCTCCGATCTCCCCCCCGCAGAGCCCTTTCCCCCTGCACATGCTCTGCAGAAGGTACTGACCCAGCCCCTCTGGACCTCGGTAGGTGGAGACAGGCCGGTTGTAGCTCACTGTGTTGGGACCTCATAGTTCCCTCCATGAGCTCCTGCAGCCCTTGGGACAGGGGTGGTGTGGCTGGCTGGTCCTGGCAGGACTGTGCACCGAGCTGGCCATCCACGGACCGATGGTGGAGGACGCATCAGTTGCATCCTCCTCCTGCTCCTCTGAGTTCTCAGGACTGTTTTCCGGGCCTGTTGGCTGGAGTCTACGCGGTCTGTGGCGAGGAACTGACTGGCACGGAACTGCCTCCTTTGCCAGGGGGTTGAATTGGGTTCTTTGGCTCAGTAACAGGGTCTCCAACCACTGGAATTTATCAGCCACAAGTCTCTAGGAAATGCAAATTAAGAGGCTCGAAAGAAATGCAGGAGGGTTTGTAAGAGGAGAAACACCAGGCTCCTGCCTGGAGAAAGGGTCCTTGGGTGTTAGCAGCTGAGCAAGTGTTAGGAGACCAGCCTTTCTCTGCCCAGGCAGGCACTGGGAAAGTGACAACCTGCACAGAAATGATTCTAAAGGAGGAGAAGGGATATGCTGCTGCAAGGTACAGTCTGCAGGGGAGAGCAGGTGGCTGGAAGCGCTCCATTGCCAATTCCCTGCACAAGTACCCCTCTAAACCCAGAGCGCATGCTTTGGATTTCTCAGGCCCCCCACATTGACACCCCACCTAGAGGCCTGGGAGCTAAACTTTCAGATTCTCAATGTGACCTTCTTCTACGTAGACATTGTTTTGGTTAGCCCAGGCAAGTAATTCAGACTAGAGTGAGAATGACTGATAGGAACCATTCTACAATGTAAATGAAATGCTAGGAAACCCAGAGCAATCTCTGGTGAGTGGAATATGAGGTGTAAATCTTTGAGATGTGGGTGCCTTTTCCCCTTAAGACGTCTGTACCCTAACTGTAAACTAATAGTCGGCAACTTGTCATTTCTTTGTTTATGTTGGACTCTTTTGGTCAACTCAAAATATTGTGAGTCTTTCCTGGAACCAAGCAGATGACAGTGTCTCTAGGGGACACCGTTTCTCTCTGGAAGCCCTTTCCCTTCACGGAATCACACGAACTTCCATCCTCTCCCTGCAGGTTCTGATGAGGAGTACATTTACATGAACAAAGTGACGGTCAACAAGCCACAGAATGCCGAGTCCCAAGACAAAGGTACGGGGCTGGGGCTGCCGATGGCCTGGCCAGCTCCCGGCAGAGGGGAAGGTGTGAGCCTTGGTCCCGTCCCAGCTCTCCGTCCTCCCAGCCAGCACCACAGACAGGCCTGGGGGAGATATTTTTGAGAGTCGCATTTTGGTGGATGGTATTTTGGGTTGATGTATTTTGGGAAGTTTCATCGGGCCACCTCCTTGCCTCTTAAAGGTCTCGCGTCCCCCCTCGTGGTTAAGGAATCTGTTCCTAAAACCTCTCAGCTTTTCCCAGCATTGTCCCAGGAATAGGAAGTTATAATTCAGATGCTTTCAGAAGGCAGCTGTGGAGGGTGCTGATCCCACGGTTCCGGCTTTCTGTCCTTTGATAGAAGTCTGGATGTTGTGTGTGTGTAGGGGTGGGGGCAGGGCAGGGGGGAGGAAATGGTGATGTCAGCATCTGCCTTAATAGTAAAGGCTTTTTCACAGGTGTTCTCTTGAGCAGGATGTTTTATCTTCCGGGCTGTCTTAGTCTCTGCTCGGGTCTGCTCCCTACTTTTCTTTGAAAACCTCAGGAGTAGAGCTGGCAGACCCCAGGGAGATCCGGAGGTTTGCAGGCTGCCTAGTTGTAGACGAGGGAGGGTTAGAAGCCCATCTCCCAACTCCTGTTACCCAAAGGCAGAGGCTTAGAGAGAGGCAGAAACACAGCACCCCAAAGCCC